GAAAAGGGCCCAATGGTTGTGTTCTGTTCTGTTCTATTCAATTAAATTAAATTAAATTCTATTTTATTCTATTCTATTAATTTGCTCGCCCTCATGTCATTCCAAACCACAGTTGTTATTGTGAAAAGGGCCCACTGGTTGTGTTCTGTTCTATTCAATTAAATTAAATTCTATTTTATTCTATTCTATTCTATTCTATTCTATTAATTTGCTCGCCTTCATGTCACTCCAAACCACAGTTGTTATTGTGAAAAGGGCCCAATGGTTGTGTTCTGTTCTGTTCTGTTCTATTCTATTCTATTCTATTCTATTCTATTCTATTCTATTCTATTCTATTCTATTCACTTACTCACCTTCATGTCATTCCAAACCAATGTTGTTATTGTCAACTATTACTAAAACTAATTAAAAATAGTTAAAACAAAAACGAATAAAAAAATATCAAAATCACATAACAAAATTGCTAAACTTTACAATAAAACCGAACATATAACAATAAAAGCAAATTCAATGTATTGATAAATACTATAACAGTTTATAAATAATACTGGAATAACACGGGTTGTTCCAAACGGACATGACTTTCTTTCTTCTACAAGAACACAAAAGAATATATTTTGAAGAATGTTGGGATCCAAAACCTTGAAACCAAACCCTGAAACATTTCCCAGAATATCTCCTTTTCTGTGTCACAGAGGACAGAATGACATGAAAGTGAGTTAATGTAGACAGCATGTTCATTCCTGGGTGAATTATCACTTCAACACATTACAACACGAAGGACACATTTTCTTCACACTTTAAATTCTGTATCAAATTGACAGATTGCTGTAAGCCGAGCGCTGTCGTGTAAACCAAGGTTAATAGTTAATCTCTCTGGATGCTGTGCAGAAACTCTACATCACCACTAGAACAATGGATTAACCAATCAGATGACAGGACTGAAACCATCCGTTTTATCCGTCGAATGCAAAGCAAAACTGCTGATAAACCAAACACGTGTGTTTGATGAGTTCAGGCCTACTCAGCATCTCGTTCACTAAGCATTTAAGCATGTTAGCAGATTTCTAATCCCGAACTGAAGCGAATCTTTCATCATCTTTTGTGCGCTGAAGCGGTTCCCCTGAGGCGTGTTTGTGCGCTTTATCACCGTCATTCACTCTGCCTCAAGGTCACACAGCTGCTGTTTAATTACACACACTCAGACCTGCTTCTGTGTCCCGTCAGACCCCGAGGATTAGAGAGAGGACAGGCATGCTACAAATCCTACAAATACAGCAGGGTTTACTAGAGACTTTTACTGAATTTGAGTTGATGTGATGTAGCAAACAGGACTCAGAAATGCCATTCGAATTTGAATGCAGTGAAGAGTAATTAATATGATCATAAAACTGCAATTTTTCACTATAAAGGAGTTCAAAGCTTGTCTTTTCTCAGAAACGTGTGATATAAAGTCAAAATTGTGTGATATAAAGTCATAATTGTGTGATATAAAATAAGAATTGCGTGATATAAAGTCATAATTGCGTGATATAAAGTCATAATTGCGTGATATAAAGTCATAATTGCGTGATATAAAGTCATAATTGCGTGATATAAAGTCATAATTGCGAGATATAAAGTCATAATTGCGTGATATAAAGTCATAATTGTGTGATATAAAGTCATAATTGCGTGATATAAAGTCATAATTGCGTGATATAAAGTCATAATTGTGTGATATAAAATAAGAATTGTGTGATATAAAGTCATAATTGTGTGATATAAAGTCAGAATTGCGTGATATAAAGTCATAATTGTGTGATATAAAGTCATAATTGTGTGATATAAAATAAGAATTGCGTGATATAAAGTCATAATTGTGTGATATAAAGTCATAATTGCGTGATATAAAGTCATAATTGCGTGATATAAACTCATAATTGCGTGATATAAAGTCATAATTGCGTGATATAAAGTCATAATTTTGTGATATAAAGTCATAATTGCGTGATATAAAGTCATAATTGTGTGATATAAAGTCATAATTGTGTGATATAAAGTCATAATTTTGTGATATAAAGTCATAATTGCGTGATATAAAGTCATAATTTTGTGATATAAAGTCATAATTGCGTGATATATAGTCGTAATTGTGATATAAAGTCATAATTGCGTGATATAAAGTCAGAATTGCGTGTTATAAAGTCATAATTGTGTGATATAAAGTCAGAATTGCGTGTTATAAAGTCATATTTGTGTGATATAAAGTCAGAATTTTGTGATATAAAGTCAGAATTGACCTTTTAAATTTTTATTCTGTGGTGGAAACAAGCTTCCATAGATTTTTGTAATGTTTTTGAAAGTTGCTTCTGCTCACCAAGGCTGCATTTATTAGATCAAAAATACAGTAAATACAGTGAAATATTATTTTACAATGTAAAACATCAGTTTTCTATGTGAATATACAGTAAAGTGTAATTTATTCCTGTGATCAAAGCTGAATTTTCAGCATCATTACTCCAGTCTTCAGTGTCACATGATCCTTCAGAAATCACTATAATATGATGATTTGATACTCAAGAAACATTTATTATCAGTATCAATGTTGAAAACAGTTGTGCTGCTTCATATTTTTATGAAAATCGTGATATTTTGTCAGGATTTTTGATGAATAGAAAATTCAAAAGAACAGCATTTATTTAAATTAGAAATCTTTTGTAACATTATTAATCGTCTTTACTGTCACTTTTCAGTGTTTCCTCTAAGATTTTTTCCAGCCGTGGTGGCAGGCCCATTTCGCCAGGGGGAGGGGGCGTGGCCCATGAGTGATACTCCCATTGGCCACGCCCCCGTATCCCAGTGCCCGGTTGCATAAAGCACCTTAAGTGTAATTTTCCCTTAAAGTCGCCCTTATGTTTCCCTTAAACCTAAGGGTGTTGCAGAAAAATACCCTTAAGTGTTACTTAACGTTTTATTTAAGTGAAACGTCATAAACACTTAGAATTTCCCTTAAATGCTGTTTTTTCACCTAAGTAATCCGTAAGTGTTTCATAAAACCCCTTAACGGTAATTTCCCTAAGTATAACTTAAGGTTTGGAAATCGTAACCTTAAGAGTAACGCGGACAAAAATAAGACGACATGGCTGAATTTATGAAACCAGCTGAAGATCATAGGGAATAGGGAGAACCCTTTGGACCAATTTAGCCATGAAAAATTGTTGCAAGAATACCGATTTGATCGACGCGCAATATTTGACATCGCTATTAAACTAGACGGCTGTCTGTCTGTCATTACACGCGACTCGCATGTAAACTATCACAACGTTAAGTCAGTGCGCGCACGGAGAGTGTGTAACCGACAAAAAATTTACAGGAGAACGAGCTGATTCTGTGTTTTAAAAGGAATCATGACAGAAGAAAACAGGTATGCTATGGAAATATACTCAGCTGTATTTCGAGACACAGAGCCAGAAGTGCATTCACAAAACCTAAAAAATCTATGGCAACAACAGACTTTTATAACGTGAATCCAGGATCGCTGTCGTGAAACACTTAAATGTTTCCCTTACCATAGAGAACCGTTTAAGAGATTATATGCAACACCCTTAAGTTGTTCTCTTAGGTAAGGGTAAATCGCCCCTTAAGGGAAAAACTTAAGGTGCTTTATGCAACCGGGCACCGGTGTTTAAACCTCCCCTAAGTATTATAACATGAAAGGCGCCAATAAGAGCGGCAAAGCGATCATGCGCATCGCGTGTGCAGAATGATGCACTTGAAGCAACGTGAAGTCACAGCGTGCAGCGCTTCGCATTGAAAGGTTCAAAGCACAAAGCGAAGAGATTTTATCTGCTTAATGTATTATATCTATGCAACAGTTTATTAAGCCTTTTCTTTTAACAGTTTTAAATTTCAGTTAACTTACAGTGCGCATGAAGAACAATTCATAGTGCTCTCTACTCTAGTGCTGTAGTAACAGACACCCGGGAGAAAGGAATGTGATTTAGAAAGCGCTATAAACTCCAGCAAGATAAAGTAATTTTATGCAAACAATAGACCTTTATCTACAAATATAGTATAAAGGGAACATTGATCTTGAAGAGAGTGTCGTCGTGTTACTGTCGTAACCGAACGCGACGTGCTGTTTGAATGCTGAATGGAGAATGACTGAGGAGAGATTAGTTTCCACATTTTTACCTCACATTATGCTATTGAATGACTTTAGAAGTCTTGGAATATAGTGTGAAAACTTTACGGTGCTTTACAATGTTTTGTATGCCTTTAGTGGGGCTTAACAATAACACAAACAATATCGGACCGAGAAGCTGCAGCCGTGGCGGGATGATTTTAGGTTTTAGGTGTGGCGGCGCGCCACGGCAGAATGAATGTAGCGGAAACACTGCTTTTGATCAATTTATTGCATCCTTGCAGAATAAATTGACGTCCACTTCCTGTAATTCCAATGCAAGTTACAATTACAAGTTACAACTTCCTGTGGCTGATTCAACACTGGCTCTTCAACACTGAAAACTGACCAATCACAACAGACTGAGCCGTCTGACCAATCAGAGCAGAGCAGCTCTCAGGAAGGAGGAGTTTAGAGAAACTGAATCTTCAAACGAACCGTTTTCAGACTCTTTGAGAAACGAGGTGATGTGTACTGTATATTATGAGAAAATTTAAGTGTTTTTTAAACCTTGGATGCATGTAAACCTATTGTAGGAGAACAACTAAATTAGGAACCTTTAAAAGAGCATAATTGGGGCACTTTAACACTATTGAGTCATCAATGAGGTTTCTTTCCAGTTAGGATTCTTCCTTGGATATAGTAGACAACAAGCTTATTAGTTTTTGGACCAGAGCTAATGTCACCTAAAGACATTATTCATGATATTTAAATGATTATTCTAACAGAACCAACACACACACACACACACACACACACACACACACACACACACACACACACACACACACACACACACACACACACACACACACAGTATGATCCCCTCACTCACCCCTGCTCCTCCATCATTTCTTGCAGCTCCATGCATTTCAGCTCCACCCTCCTCTTCCTCTCATGGTCCAGAATCTCCCGGTGAGCCTTCTTCACCAGGACAGGTTCAGGCACGCCCTCCTCTTCCTCGGGCTCTTCGCTGGCTTTGGGTCGTGTGGTCGCGGGGGTCTCGGGCTGGAGCGGGACCCCGTTAGTGGCGTCCTCAGGGGAGGGAACCCTCGCCCCATCGTACATGGCCACGGCACTCTGACACAAACACAAACAGCCACAGTAGTTAGTAAAAAAAGTTATACATTTTTTTTCAATTTATTTTTTCTTTCTTTCAATGTTTTAATTTTTTTCAATTGTCTTTTTTTCATGCATATTTGTTAGGATGTGTTTTATTTGTTTGCATTTAAAAAAAAGTGTATGATGATCTTCTGCTAAAAAAACAAATAAAGAATATAGCTGCGAGCAGCGATTACGGGCCCAAGCCGGTGGCACCGCAACCCCGGTGCCTTTAGTTACCTAAAGGCACCAGGGTGGCGGTGCCGCCGGCTTGGGCCCTTCATCGCTGCTCGCAGCTATATTTATATATATATATATATATATATATATATATATATATATTTATATATATATATATATATATATATATATATATATATATAAAGCCGGTGGCACCGCCACCCTGGTGCCTTTAGGGTTATTGTGCACGACGTGACACAAAATATCTGCTTGCTATCTGCCGAACGGCTCTGGTAGTTTCGCTTCAGCACTGATGATGTTGTAGAAATAGTGCGCTCTGGTTGGTCTGGATTATTCGGGATTTTTTATTTTATACAGAAATAAATTCTTTATAATTCAGATGAGAATAAAGTTAGTGTTGATTAAAATGAAGGAAAACAAATATATTGATCTGAAATATAGCACATTAATTTAAAATTTATTTAGGTTCAATTACCAAACATACAATCTTAATTTAAGTTAAAGCAAACAATACATTTAAAATATATGGGTTGTATGCACATTTTTTTTAATAAAAAAAATATATATCCAAAAAGACAAGGCCTTAAAGGGTTAAACTCTTGTCACTGTAACAGACACATCTCTCTCTCACACACACACACACACACACACACACACACACACACACACACACACACACACACACGTCAAGTCAATTACATTTTTAGATGCAATATTGAATAAGCAGAAAAATCGGATTTTCTGCTCTGAAAATATAAATAAGCAAAAAAATTTAATAAGCACTTTGAATATTCTAAACAGAATAAGCACTAGTCACTAATGAATAAGTACTAGTACTTAATGGAATAGATACTAGTATCTAAAAAATAAGTACTAGTAGCATGAAAATAGAGACTAGTAGGTTAAAATGATTAAATGTTAAAACGGCTTGCCATATTGGCTCAGAGAGAGAGAAAGAGAAAATGACCTTTTAGATACTAGTACCTATTAATAGATACTAGTATTTATTCAATAAATACTAGTACTAAGTCATTAGATACTAGTACCTATTAAATAGATACCAGTACTTATTCATTAGCTACTAATACGTATTCAAAAGAATATCTAAAGAATAAGCACTAGTATCTAAAGAATAGGCACTAGTACTAAAGAATAAGCACTAGTCGCTAATGAATAAGTACCAGTACTTAATGGAATAGATACTAGTATCTAAAAATAAGTACTAGTAGCATGAAAATAGAGACTAGTAGGTTAAAATGATTAAATGTTAAAGCGGCTTGCCATATTGGCTCAGAGAGAGAGAGAGAGAGAAAATGACCCTATTCAAACCACAATATCTGACTTTCTGAGGGTCGGAGCTAATTACTTTAAATTAGAAAGTTGTTTGGCTTGAGGAGAAGAATATACACGCTGAGTTTTGTAACTGTAGATAAAACTAACCCCCCCCACTTTTGTCAAAAGCATTTAGAAAGTGACACACTTCCTGCTGCCAGTTGGTGGCGCTATAACTTTGACTCACAATAGTCACATCCATGTGATCGGCCTCTTACAGCGAACATACTGTTGAAGTTTCATCAAGATCAGTTAATGTATGCAGAAGTTATAACACACTTCCTGTTTCCATTATTCGCCATAAATTCGTTTCCTCGCCACGGCCAAACCGTTCGAGATATGAAAAATCCCCTGGCAATTTTTCATCCTCAATGTCTTGACATCATGCTGACCGAGTTTCCTTGCGATTGGTTGAATTCTCTAGGAGGAGTATATCGAATTCCAGGGGCATACGCTTCCAAACAAACCATAATAGCCGACTTCCTGTTGGGCTGGGGTAAAAAGTAAAAGTACAAAGGATATATGAACCGATGAGATCTATATGTGTACCGAGTTTCATATTATTACATGGAAGCGTGTTTGATTTATGGACCAAGTTTTCGGACCCCGTTCCAGGGGGCGCTGTCGAGCCCCCCTGCCACGCCCGGGTACCAGCTTCAGCCCGGCCCTGATGGCCGCGGGTTCTGACCAGTGTGCAAAGTTTCAAGAGTTTTCGTGCACGTTAAGAGCCCCAAAAGTGCCCGAATAGTCGATAAAATAATAATAATAATAATAATAATAATAAATATAGCTGCGAGCAGCGATTACGGGCCCAAGCCGGTGCCACCGCAACCCCGGTGCCTTTAGTTACCTAAAGGCACCGGGGTGGCGGTGCCGCCGGCTTTGGCCCTTCATCGCTGCTCGCAGCTATATTTATATATATATATATGAAGAGTTCAGATGCAAAAGCCTCTAAACGCCACCTCCGTCAAAAATGAGATAATGACATTGAGTGAAAGCTATCTGAACACAGTACACGTTCAACAAATATATTTGCTTCAAATCCTCGAAATCTCAGCCTCAGCCCATTCAGAAATATCAGTTTGTCGGCAAAAGCCTCTAGACGCCACTTCCCTTTGGCAGCAAAAGCCACTACATCCCGAGAACCAATCAGAAGGCGCGAGCCGCGCGAATCAGTACAGGCTGTTTCAATAGAGCGGTGCGCTGAGGAGACGGATTTTTTTAGACGGCTGAGGAGATTGTTTTGTTTTTGGATTCAGATTTTTTACATTTTTAAGATGGAGTACGATGAAATGGAGGAGCCTGTCCTGCTGACATCAAAAGGCAGAAGAGAACGTCGTTTATCTACCTCAAAACTCTTCCCGTTAATTTACAAGGCAAAAGAAAATCGGTAACTTTACAGTGAAAATAGCTTGGTCGCAAGTGTAGCATGCACTCATAACAGTTCTTAGTGCAGTGCTGTAACTTTGAAGGAATTTGATTTATTATACTTGAGATATACATTATAATATTACTTTACATTATTTAAGTCTTATAAGCTTCTTATACAAAATGCACAGATATTGATGTTTAAGAATGTTGCTCTGTTCTACTTGATTATACAAACTAAAACTATTAAACTATTTTAATCGCCAATTCTTTTTGCCAATGTGGTTGTACTGTGTGAATCGGGGGGGCTTTTGTCTTTATTCAGACAGGGCAGAAAGGTGACTGCAGAGAAATGGGGTGGGATTTGCAAATAATCGCAGATCTCATTCAGCCCCCCTGTAAAGAGGTGTGTTTACTGTTTAGTTTTGAAATGAATGTGCTCTAATCTTTTTCAGTGTTTCTAGTTACATTTGTATTGATTTTTCAGCTATTTACTATGTCTTGTCCCAAAGAGGTGGATTTAGAGGTTTTTGCGAAAAAAGCACAAGTGGATTTAGCTGTTTTTGACGCAAAAGAAAATCTAATTTGTTAAAAATCACTGAATTGACTCAAGTGACATTTTTGAAAAAAAGTTATTTTATTCAATGACTAATAACCTTATCAGTACCTTTAAAATGAAACTACTGGACGTGAACATAGGAGCCTGATAAAAAATGCTCATTTAAAGAAAATAAGTCTGACGGATTTAGAGGGTTTTGCATATGAACTCTTCATATATATATATATATATATATATATAAAGCCGGTGGCACCGCCACCCTGGTGCCTTTAGGGTTATTGTGCACAACGTGACACAAAATATCAAAATATCTGCTCGCTATCTGCCGAACGGCTCTGGTAGTTCCGCTTCAGCACTGATGATGTTGTAGAAATAGTGCGCTCTGGTTGGTCTGGATTATTCGGGATTTTTTATTTTATACAGAAATAAGTTATTTATAATTCAGATGAGAATAAAGTTAGTGTTGATTAAAATGAAGGAAAACAAATAGGCTATATTAATCTGAAATATAGCACATTCATTTTAAATTTATTTAGGTTAAATTACCAAGCATACAATCTTAATTTAATTTAAAGCAAACAATACATTTAAAATATATGGGTTGTATGCACATTTTGTAATAAAAAAAGATATATATCCAAAAAGACAAGGCCTTAAAGGGTTAAACTCTTGTCACTGTAACAGACACAATCTCTCTCTCTCTCTCACACACACACACACACACACACACACACACACACACACACACACACACACACACACACACACGTCAAGTCACTTACATTTTAGATGCAATATTGAATAAGCAGAAAAATCGGATTTTCTGCTCTGAAAATATAAATAAGCATAAAAATTTAATAAGCACTTTGAATATTCTAAACAGAATAAGCACTAGTCGCTAATGAATAAGTACTAGTACTTAATGGAATAGATACTAGTATCTAAAAAATAAGTACTAGTAGCATGAAAATAGAGACTAGTAGGTTAAAATGATTAAATGTTAAAACGGCTTGCCATATTGGCTCAGAGAGAGAGAGAGAGAGAGAGAGAGAGAAAATGACCTTTTAGATACTAGTACCTATTAATAGATACTAGTATTTATTCAATAAATACTAGTACTAAGTCATTAGATACTAGTACCTATTAAATAGATACCAGTACTTATTCATTAGCTACTAATACGTATTCAAAAGAATATCTAAAGAATAAGCACTAGTATCTAAAGAATAGGCACTAGTGTTAGGTAATGTTAGGTTGACTATTTTATCATTATATATTATTAAGGCTATAATGAACAGGCTGCGATGTCAAGATTGCAATGATGCAATATGTGTGTGTGTGTGTGTGTGTGTGTGTGTGTGTGTGTGTGTGTGTGTGTGTGTGTGTGTGTGTGTGTGTGTGTGTGTGTGTGTGTGTGTGTGTGTGTGTGTGTGTGTGTGTGAGATTGAACATTGTTACACATAAAAACATACTCTGTCATTTTGTTCATAGAGGACATCATTCAAATTGCAAATTGTTT